AGGATGGTCTCGATCTCCTGACCTCGTGATCCGCCCGTCTCGGCCTCCCAAAGTGCTGGGATTACAGGCTTGAGCCACCGTGCCCGGCCGCCCGGCTAATTTTCATACTTTTAGTAGAGACGGGGTTTCACCATGTTGGCCAGGCTGGTCTCGAACACCTGACCTCAGGTGATCCGCCCGCCTTGGCCTCCCACAGTGCTGGGATTACAGGTGTGAGCCACCGTGCCCGGCCATTGTCATCTTCTTACAGGCTCAGAACCAATGGCACAGGCCAGGCCCTCCCTCATCCTTGAGAGAGGCCGAGGCCTTTCAACATCTGAAGACATCCAAACACCCCCTGGAACCTCATCCATTTTCCCCAGAACACAGTCTCCAGGGTGGGGCCCTTTGGATATTGTCCTTTGGAAATGCAGCAGGCGGGTGTGAACCGCATCTGAAGAGGCAGAACAGCCAACCACACAGATGGTAGCATCTGAGGCCAGGTGGTCAGAGAGGGAGCAGAGCCCAGGGCACTGCAGAAAACTGGCCTGTGCCAATGGTCAGTCTGAGGGCCCCAGGGCAGAAGGGGAGGCAGCACACTAGATGAGGAACTGAGAAGCAGGAGGAGAATTATTAGCAGGATGGATGGAAAGGTGGTTCGGCCATAAATCTGAACTTGGACGATTCTTAACTTTGGAAGACCTGGATGCCTTCTGGTGCCCACCTCTCCCCTTCCAATGTCCTCCCTTAGCCTGGAAATTTCCTCCTTTCTTACTAACTAGCTGCTCACCTGGAAAGCCCTTTCCTCTTCTCCTTGGCCCCTTAGCTGTCAGGACCTGGGGAGAATTGGATGAAGAAAATGGAAAGCTGGGAGGTTCCCAGCCGTACCCCAAGAACTGCTGTAAGGAGAAGAGGCCCCAGCGGAGAGGACTGAGGATTTGGGGTCACGCTCTGGCCTCAACCCCACAGCTCTATTTTACACATGGACACATGGATTTTTTTTCTTCTATTTATTTTTCTTTTTTTCTTTCTTTTTTTTGAGACAGAGTCTCGCTCTGTTGCCCAGGCAGGACTACAGCGACGCAATCTCAGGTCACTGCAACCTCTGCCTCCCAGGTTCAAGCAATTCTTGTGCCTCAGCCTCTCCCGAGTAGCTGGGACTACATGCACGAGCCACCATGCCCAGCTAATTTTTTGTGTTTTTGATAGAGATGGGGTCTCACTATGTTGCCCAGGCTGGTCTTGAACTCCTGGCCTCAAGCAATCCTCCCACTTCAGCCCCCGAAGTGCTGGGATGACAGGCGTGAACCACCGCATATGGCCTCTTTCCTTTCTTTCTTTTTAAAAATAATTAAGGAAATCATATTGTAGAGTGAAGATAGGACACAGAAGCTTGGGTTGGAATCCTGACTCCACCCCTTACTATGTGACCTTGAGCAAGTCCCTCTGCCTCTCTAGGCCTCATTCCCCATCTCTTTATAGGGACAATCACGGCCCCCACAGGGTTACAGCAGAGAGGTTAGGGGCTCTGAGGCTTTGGCAACTGAATGTAGCATGAGAACTTCAGGAGCTCAACCTCTCTGATCTCAGCTTTCCCATGTGAAAATGGGAATAATCATAGCACCTGGTTCAAGAGGTTTTTAGGAGAGCCCACTCAGCTGGTCTACAGAATTTGTTTAGCACAAGCCAGGGGCAACAGAAACCTCCTAAAGAGGCAGCTATTATTATTTATTCTTTTTTTTTTTTCTTTTGACAAGGAGTTTCGCTCTTGCCGCCCAGGCTGGAGTGCAATGGCGTGATCTCGGCTCACTGCAACCTCCGCCTCCTGGGTTCAAGCGATTCTTCTGCCTCAGCCTCCCGACTAGCTGAGATTACAGGCATGCATCACCATGCCCAGCTAATTTTGTATTTTTAGTAGAGATGGGATTTCTCCATGTTGACCAGGCTGGTCTCGAACTCCTGACCTCACGTGATCTGCCCACCTTGGCCTCCCAAAGTGTTGGGATTACAGGCTTGCGCCACCGTGCCTGGCTTATTTATTCTTTGAGGAGACAGATATACCACTGTTTAAAAAGTTGATGGCTAGACATGATGAAGACATTCCGGGCCCACGGCCTCTCCATGAGATGGTTTGGTGAATGTGCATTCATACTGAAAGGGGCTGTGTGAGGACAGTAATATCTACCAGCCCACAGTCAGGGCAGACTCAGGTGTCGCAGGGCCTGAAGCTTATGCAATTAGGGGAACTTTTTTTTTTTCTTTTTTGAAACAAAGTCTCATTCGGTCACCCAGGTTGGAGTACAGTGGCACAATCATGGTTCACTGTAGCCCCAACCTCATGGGCTCAAGCAATCCTCCCACCTCAGCCTCCTGAGTAGCTGGGACTCTAGGTGAGTGCCACCACACCCAGCTAATTTTTGTATTTTTTGTAGGGAGAGGATTTCATCATGTTGCCCAGGCTGCTCAAGTGATCCGCCCACTTCAGCCCCCTAAAGTGCTGGAATTACAGGTGTGAGCCACCATGCCTGGCCAGAGGGCCATTTTAAAAACATAAATACAAAACGATCATATGACAAGTTCCAGGCCCCTCCCAGGACCCTGCAAGGGGCCCATTCAAATGGGAGGCCCAGCTGGGCGAGGTGGCTCACATCTATAATCCCAACATTTTGAGAGCCTGACACAGGAGGATTGCTTTTGCCCAGGAGTTCGAGACCAGCCTGGGCAACATAGTAAGGCACCTGTCTCTACAAGAAAAAAAAAAAAGTTTTTAATTACCCAAGTTTGGCGGCAGGTGCCTGTAGTTCCAGCTACTCAGGAGGCTGAGGCGGGAGGATCGCTTGAGCCTGAGAGGTGTAGGCTGCAGTGAGCTATGATCATGCCACTGCACTCCAGTCTGGGTGACAGAGGAGGACCCTGTCTCAAAACAAAACAAACCCCCAGAAAACAAATAAGAGGCCCTAAAGCCAAAGCTCCATCAGCCTGGTTGGAAATCCAGCTTTTCTATGATTAAGTGGCTCGCTGGTACCTGAGCCAGGAGTTGGTCCCAGACCCGCGAGTCCTTACCTGTTCTTAAAATCTCCACGAGGACCAGACCATCCGAATGTGTACCCACCACTCCTCTGTCCTTCCCCCGACAGCTACCCTGCCTCTCCAGCTACATCAAGTTCAGAGTCTTGGACTGGTGAGCAACCTGGTGGAGGGTGAAGCACACAGGGAAGGAGGAAATGAGAGCTGGGCCAGGGGCTCAGCCTGAGGAATGTTTCTCTCCAGCCACAGGAAGGACTGCTCGGATGAGATTGGGACCGCCAGCCTGTCCCTCAACCAGATCTCGTCCACCGGAGAGGAGATCGAAGGCAAGCAAAGTCTCGAGCCCACGTCCCACACCCCTCGTCCTGCGCCCGACCCTTCTCACTCTCTCTCCTTCCAGGCGCGTACTCTGGCTTCCTGCCCTGCTTTGGCCCCAGCTTCCTGACTCTGCACGGGGGTAAAAAGGCCCCTTTCAGGATCCAGGAAGAAGGCGCTGTAAGCTTGTCACATCAGCTCTAGGGGACAGCGGAGGTGGAGCTGCCCTAGTAAAGCACTAGGGCCTGGGACGTGCCCTGGTTTCTGTCCCTCGGGGTCTTGGGGAGGACGTGAAGCCTGTCCATGAGCAGCCACGTGCATGTGGGACAGGCGTGGGGGCACCAGAAAGGAGCAGGCGGAAGTTCTGGGCTTTCCCTGAGGAAGGGGCTTTCAGAGGAAAAAAAGGTAGGATTTTCAGCAGGCGGGAAGGGCGCGCAGGACAGAGGACACAGCACAGGCAAGTGTGAGGAAGCACGAGGTTATTCAGGAACGGCGGTAAATGCCAGAAACCCAACTCACACTGTCTTAAACCCAGGGAAAAACAAGACTCCTGTCTGCCCGGAGCTACTGTGGATCCCAGTTTCTGACAGTGCAAAGAGGCACTGGGAAGGAACGAGGCAGGGAAGGATGCTGAGGAAGAACCATAGGCACTGGCCCTCAAGGCCACTGGGAGGCCCTCCCTCTCCTTTCCCCACCCCACCCCGCCTCATTCCCTCCTCCCGCAGTCAGGCCTCCGGGCTGGGAACCTCACCACACCGCCTCCAGCGGGGAAGGCCGGGGAGGCGTTCTAATTGGCCTCCTTAGGGCCTGTGTGCTCCCCTCGGATCCCTGTGGCCAAGGAGGCGGGGCGGGCTCTGATTGGCCCGGCGGGGAGCGCAGACTCAGTGATGGCAGTTCCCACCCAGCCGGAAGCATTGTGGGAACACAGTTCCCACCCAGCCGGAAGCATTGTGGGAACACAGT